GCGGCGGCCTCCAGCTTTCTCTTTTGGCTTGGTGTCGATACTGCGCTGTCAGTGGATCGGTGGTACGTCGAGGAGGCTGAGGGGTCTGGTGCCTGTGGAAAGGCCGCGGGGTTTGGTGGCCCCGCCGACCTGGAGCGGGCCGGAGCGGGCATCACATCACACCGATGCCCTCCTTCTCCCCTTTTCTGTTTGCCGGAGCTGCGAGGTTACGGAGCTCTTAAGCCCGGCTTGCTGGGCTGGTGTGTTTTGAAGAAGGAGTGTAACGCTGGCTTTGCCATGAACTCTAGCGCAAGAACTGCTTCTTGAAAAGCAGCGGCTTGTCATTGTCTGTAGATCTTAACAAGAGCTGTGACTGAAATCCTAGCAAACGAGCATAATCTCAGCTGTGCTTTCTGCAGCCATAATGGTGTAGCTTGACCCAAAATACCTTTGCATGCGTGAGGAAATGTTCTCTGAGTTCACGGACTAGTCCTGGTCTCGTGTTTCTAGTGCCCTGTGCGGGGAAGGGTGAGAGAGAGGTCTCCCTGCTCTTATCTTCATTGTGCAATCGTCTGGGATTAGTGAGAAATTGTAGCTGTTGCTGTCTTACAAATGCAACCTGTTTTATCTGGTGTGCTGGTCAGATAAAGCAGCTATGCAGCCAGTGAGGTGCTGTGCAGGAGGTTTTTCCTGAAGAGTTGGCCCCAGTTAGAACTGTGATTGAGGCTCTGACAATGAGGAAGAAAATTAGACTGAAAGGAGAACAGGGTGTGTTAGGGAAACCATGGCTGAGCTTTCCACCTGAGTGATCATACCAGGCTTAATTGTGGATTGAAGAAACACAGTTGGTGGAGCTCCCTTGATGCTGCTTAAGTGACCCGAGAGGGTTGGTTGAGGGAAGTAATCAAGGAGGAATGAGGTGATCTGCTTTCCCCGACGCTACGTAGGGTGACAAGCGGCTGAATGGCTTGGGAAGCAGATTTGGCGTCAAGATGGGACTGGCCTGAAAGTTGCTGTGGCTTGCTGCGATTGAGGGAGACAGGAGGAGCTGACAGACTTGGTGGTGGTTGGGCTGTTGGCAAAAATCTCCCATACATTTTTTTTTTTCCTCCTGTTGCCACTGTTTTACTTGGTTTGTGTGTAAATGCATATGACAAATTCCAGCCCTGATGAGAGAATGACTGTTGTGTATGAGCACTGACCACTGATGTTGCTTTCATCTTTGACAGCTGATGCTGGAGCCTGCCCAGTGCCTTTTGTGCTGAGTCTTCAGTCTTCTGTGGGTGTATTTTAAAGTCATTCCTGTTAGCTGGTTTGTGCACACTTGACTTAGTGTGAGGAAAATCCTGTGCCTTTTCACTCAAAAGAGAACTGTCGTCTTGCGTGTGGCATGAGACGCACGTGCCGTTGGTGGTGGGCATCTGTGCACGTGGACCGAGAGGATGTTCCGCACAGAGATGAAGGGTTCTCTCATCTTGGCTGGATGAGGTAGTATCATCATGCAGGAAGGTTTTAAACCCATCTTACTACTGAATTTTGGAACTTCTCAAGGTAGAGGAGAAGGGAAGTTAAATTTATCAGTGCGCCAAAAAACACCAAGAGGCATGGTAGATTTCCTAGGGCCTCAGAAAATCGTTTCTGTATAGTGTGTCCCCAGTGTGGTTTTTACCTGTAGCCATGTGAACGTGCCATTACTGTGTTATACTTCCTTTTGGGTGTGCAGCTATGCTTGTGCTTCCTTCTGGAGCTTTGCACTGTGTTCCTTTGGTTTCACAGCAGCAGTGATACACACAAAACGTATTCCCACTGCTGGCCTTCCTTTCCTCGCTGACGTGAGAGAAGCGATGGCGCTAATAGCGTTTATTTTATGATTCCGTGCTGTCTATCCCGATTATGCCAGTACTTCTCCTTGAGTCAAACCAAGGTGAAGCTTTCCAAATCCTGGTTTTCCCTGCAGATGGCAGGAGACCATTGCTTGGTCTGTCCTTGGATCAAGATCACTCAGACCTGTCAGACAATTCAGCTCTCTTTCCCCCCCCCCCCCGTCCCCCCCAGCCTAGCTACAACAGCACCTTATATTGCTGAATTTCAGAATTTGTTTCCCGGATTGTTAGCTGGCAGTTTTTAGCATGGATACTATTTTAATTTAGCTCTGTGTTCTGAGAAGTGAGTGGCAACATATCTTGGATACCAGCTACTCGCAACTAGGTTCTTTACCGCAGTGTGTCCCAGCTGCAAGAGCATCCTTAAAGCTGCTGGCAATGTGTGTGCTGGAGGGAAGGTGATTGTATGACAGCCGCTTCCGCTCTGATGGCTGCCTGACTTGGTGTCTTGCATACCCCTTCACGTGGAGGTAATAAAATGAGAAGTTGCTGTGCTGATTGAGGGAGTTAACTAACTCCCTGTGTCCAGTGAGCTCTGAAATTCTGCAAGCCAGATCGAGAGACTCTGGCTTCTATTGACTTAATAACCCTTGTAGTGGAAATGGTGAGTCTTTTCTCTTTTCATGCTTTTGAGAGAGGCTGTGTGACCTGTAGTGTGCTTTACAGAGTTATGGACTGAGACAGAAATAGCTTGGGTAGATGAATCCACAAGGCCAGTTTCGTGTTGACGGTTTTTGGTGATGTGAGGAGACCGGTTCTGTAGGATGCTGGAGGGAGATCTTGTAGATTCCCAAACATTGATACGTTTCTGTTAAATTCCTCAGCTGTGTGCAGAGGTACCGCACACCTTCCACAGCCAGGCCAAGCTGGAGCAGACTTTCAACCAGGCATTTGTAGCACATCTTGGATACGTACTGCGAAAGAACTAAAATATCAAGGAAATTGCTGGGTCTGTGATTCTTAATACGCAGAGAGATGAATTTAGAAGCCTGAAGCTTCATCGAGGAGGAGAACGAGAACTTAAGCCCTGGGGACTGCAACGCTGTTGGCCCAAGCAGTGGAAAGAAGAAAATAGCTCTGTGTGTGTGATTTTCCTTGAGATGTGGGGGAGGAAAAGACGGTGAGAGGCTGGCTGCTTCTGCAGCACAATCAAAGAGCTCTGCACAGACCGACCTACCTGTCGGTTTTCCTCTGCGTTGGAAAGCTTAGTGGAAGTGCGCAAAGGCAGCCAGATCTGTGTGATTATTGGGATGGAGGGAAGTAAGAGGCATCTGAAAAGGAAGGTGGATGAGCAGGGGGAGTAAGGAGGAAGTGGCAGCTGAGGTGGTGGTATGGCAGGCAGGAGGAGCGTGTCACTTGCATCCCCAGACGAGGTGACTGTCTTTACAGACAGCTGCTGTGGTGAGCCCGGGTCTCTTCAGTTCGTTCTCACTCCTTTGCATAATCTGTGTTCTGAATGAGTAGATATCATCTGTGTAGGCTCTGTGGCTTTTCTTCTGGCATATGTCCTGGTTTTTGTGGGCTGCATCAATCCTTGCTGTTAGATTTTTATGTTTTTTATCTCAATCCTGACAGTAAACTGTAATTTAGTGGATAGTGCTGCTGAAACTGAAATGCCTTATGAGGATACAGGTTTCCTGAATACCTAAACCAGCATAAATAATTATCTCATTTGCTGTGGGGTCCAAGAACATTCAAAGTTTTGTTTTGGTTTTAGGCTTGGCTATAAATAGCCCTCTAGTTCTGGGCCAAGTCAGTTTGCGAATAGTACATGGGATTTTGTGGGGTGTGCAGGCCCGAAGTGGTACCTGATCCTTACCACTCCTCTTGAATAGCACACAAGTTCTTAGCTGCTCCATGAAACCTATGGGGAGGCAGGATGTGTTTTGTTCCATCCTGACCTGCTAGTTTCAGAGGGTCCTGTGATGAAATGAGATTGTGATGGTGGAGCTTGAGGATACGGTGAAGCCTAGCACCTCATCAACAGCGATACAGTCATATCACCTCTCCTATGGATTTGACATCGAGTGATACTCTTGCATCTTATACCTCTCACGTGTTTCTACTTGCTTGATTTCTCCACAGAATGAGAGCGCTAACTTTTCTCTCTCCTTTTTTTCCTTTCCCAGGGAATCTAGCAAACGACAGGCTACAGGGAGCAGTGTTACAGGACACGCTTTTTTTACAGAGGAAGCAATTGCTGTGCACAGGTCCTCACCTTTCAGCTGAGATTCTGTGATGTAAGTTCCAGGAGTTTCTCTTTCTGCGATAACCTTCTCTATGGCCTCTTCTTGCTGACGTTTGCCCCAGTGTTGGGCACAAAGAGGAAGGATGCTGAAGAATGGGTACCCCCCTTTTGTCTTTTAGAACATGGGCACTTCTGTAAAGGTACGTGATTGCTCTTTGGTTAGAGGGATGGGAATATTTGTGGAGGCCAGCAAAGGGATTTGCTGGGCCGGAAAGTCATGGCTATTGTTGGGGGGGAAATACCTCATTTAAGCTTTCTGCATGCTGCTGTCCATTGGTGCTGCTGAGATGACTGATGAATAACTCCCCTTTTGTGTTTGTTTAAAAAAAGAAAAAGCAGCTTGAATGCACAATGTAGCTTCTCACTAACTGAATGGTGACATGGTGAGCTATATTGTGTGCATTAGTGTATGTTGAATTGTTTGTCTGACTGTCACACACGTTCCTTGCTGCTGCTCTTGTTCCATCTGTCAGCTATGTCTTACCAACCAAACAGCATGTTGTTCTTCTGGGTGTGGTCTTCTTACTACATGTTTGTTTACCAGTCCCCTCAGTGAGAACCTGATTCTAGATTGGTGTCTCCAGAAATTGCTGTAATCTTAATAGGGTACAAAAATAAGGGTTTAGCTTGTGTGTTGGACAGTGAGAGTTTCGGTGGAGAGGCTCCACTTCGCAGAGGTGAGCAGGAAAATACAGATGGGCTCTTTTCCAGTTGTATTCATATTTTCTGTTGTAGAGTTACAGGCAAAGAATCGGTTCAGCTTTGTCTTGGAAGGATTTTGTTCTGGACAAATGGGGATGCTCTTGTCCGCAACCTTTTGATTCCATAGCTTTTTCTTCTCAGGTTGCTGGTTGAAGGTCAGCTTCTTTCCATTTCGGTGGTGGCCCTGTGATGTGACGTGCTTTCATGGCAGGCTAGAAGTTAACTATGTGACTGGCAGAAGCAAGTAGGTGTGAGAGCTTGGATCAGTGGCTTTCAGCCACTGTTGTCAAAAGTTAGTGACCCTGCAAAAAGTAGCTCCTTCGTGCAGTACCCAGAGCCCACTCTCACTCGTTTCTGAGGATAGTGTGTTGCTGGCGGGAGAACTGTTCCTTGTAGCATGCTGTGGTGTTTGCATATTTCACAGTCTTACGGAATAATGCTTTAGGGATGTCCTTGGAGAAGAAAAGTGATCGATAGGTATTTGTCTGAGGAATCATAGATTAAATTCAGGCCAGTGTGTGTGAGGAAGAGTCATTGGACTGGACTTGGCCTATTTTGTGTTCTAGATGCAGCTGTGATCCTCGGCTCTGTGTCTCACCGAAGGGACCTGATGTTTTACATTATTGGTAAGTGAAGGAAAGGCTGCCACTGTGTCTGTTGACCTCTCCATAGGCTTTAGAAGGGTTTCTTGAAAGCCTCTGCTTTCATGTTAGTTCAGAGGCTACCTAACAAACATGAAGTTACTGTCACACCGTGCTGTGCCCCTCCACCTGGCAGACTTGCCTCTCCACCATTCTTTTTGTTCTTCAAGTCTGTCCATTGACCTCATTCCTAAGCTATCTCCTTACTTCTTTCAAGATCCAGTGCAGGGTTGTTGCCTCCTGTGATGCTTCTTAATCCAGCCTTAATGCGATGTGCAGGGGTTGTGTGGTTATATGACTGTTTCCCTTAAAGGAATCGCTGTAGTTCTGATTTGCAACTTGGAGGGATTTCTATGCTTGTGTTGGGATGTCTGCTGGCCACACTGAGGCTCTGTACCACCTTTACCTATTTCCTCTGTTTGCAATTGTTTTAAGGGACTTGTTATTCTCTAACCTTACTTGTAGCATAACAGACTGTCAATGTTCGCACAATAACTTCTGCCTTAAACACCTAATTTGCAGCTGAGTAGAATGTCGTTAATAAAAGGCATCTTGGGCTAATGCAGAGAGGATTTTGGTGCCTGACTCAGCCATGCTGCTGCAATCACCCTCTGTTCTCTCCTTGCTGCAGGTGGGATCACAGTATCTGTGGTAGCTTTCTTCACCATTAAGTTCCTCTTTGAGCTTGCCGCACGTATAGTCAGCTTCTTTCAGCATGAGGACCGGGAACGCCGAGGGGAGCAAACTATTTATAACTACATGCGGGGCAGCTACCTGGATCCCCGGTCCTGCAAAATCTCCTGGGATTGGAAGGACCCCTGTGAGGTGGGCCGTAGCATGGCCTTCCGAGTGCATGTAAGGGAATATTTCTGTTTCCATGCAGCTTTGGGGGCAGGAAGAGGGATTTGAGTTAGGGGTGGGCTCTGCAAATGTTGTGGGGTTGGTTTTGTTTTTTTTGTGGTTTTTTTTTTTTTTTTTTTTTTGGGAGGGGCCAAGCTGGATGTAATTTAGGAGTGAGAAAGCTCTCTGTCTTCTGTCCGCTGTAACTGTGTTGCAGGACCCTGTAAGTGCATATCTGAGGTTTGCACTCCTTAAGATCCTATCTCCCTCTCTTCAGAATCCTCTGAAGAGCTAGAGGAGACCAGACTTGTCCTATCTACTGCTTCCTTTACTGGGAAGTGAGTGGGCTGAGCCTTGCCTTCAACAGACGGTGCTATCTTGTGGTTGTGCAGCTAAAGTTGGGAGTGTGGGAGTCGGCATTTTACCAACCCAAGAGCTGTAAGCTTTGTGGCCACTCCCTGTGTGTCCTAAATTGAGCATTATTCTGCCTGGACTGGAAAAGCCTGCCAAGGACTCTGTGTTTCCTCCAATCCCAAAAGGCCGAGTCTAGGGGAATCGGACGTGTATGCAAATAAGATGGATGAGAGGCCCCAACACTGAGAGTTTGGAGCTACGTGGAGACAGTTGGAACAGGTTTTGCTGAGCTCACGTGCCCACTTTTCTGCCCTCACCTTCCCCATCCAGAAGGGTATCAAAGTAAAAAGAAATATTCAGCTAGGTTTGCCATATCTGTCTTCTCGGGAACGTGAGGAAAACCCTTCTGCCTGAGGGTGTGAGGACTTCTAACTCCTGGGCAGGCAGTTAAAAGGAGCTGAGGGGACAAGGACTTGTTCTGTTTCTCCTGTATAAATTTATTCCCTTCACTTTACTGACTCTCACTCATAGCAGCTCCAGTGATGTGCCCTTCCACTTCATGCTTGCCTCCCATCTGCTTAGCCCTTTATTCATCAACAGTAGCTGTTGGACGCACTGGTTTCTCTCACTGACAGTCAAGATGCATACTACTTTCAGGCCCCACACCTTCTCTTATTTAGGGAGAGGGAATAATAGTAACCTTTATCTGTCTGCAGGCTGATTGCAGGTGGCAGGCAGGATATGGCCCACGGCCGCTGGCTCTTGAAGAGCCATGCACGTAGGGTTTCAGGATAATTCTTTCCTTGTAAGGATGTACCAGTCAAGGTATGTTACCTTCTGATATTGTCTGGCAGATCACTCCTGTGATTGAGCTGCCTGTGATTTTTTGTTTCTTATCAGTACAGACTGGGTCAGCTCCTTAGGTCAGCATCTTCTCCACACTGTTTTCTGTAACAAACTGGTGAGAACTTTTCCAGAGCTTAGCTGTACAAATGGACAGGATCTGCTTGTTTCTCTGAAAGGAGGTGGCTTTGCTGCTTTCCTTTCAGTAGTGGGTTCTCTTGGTTTCTGCTCTGAGACTGCACTAACAGTGCAGAGAAGAAATGCCTAGAGGCATGTTCTTTTCAGGGCAGTCATCTGAACCCCAGCACAAAAGAGAATGAGGCTGCTCAATGCCCACTTGTGCCCTGTTCGCTTGGGAGAACACAGCTTGTGTGACAAAGCTGGCTGTTAATTATTTTTCCTTTGCTGAGCTGGGGTTCTTACCCTTGTTTTCCCAAGGCAACTTGCTTTCTCTTCCTCTGTGCACTGCATATTTTTGCTGACCTGGACTTCTCCATTTCCCATGCAGTTATTCTATAAAAATGGGCAACCCTTCCCTATTCACTGGCCTGTGCAGCTGCGAGTTCACATCTGCCACGTGGATTTTGCAATTGATATTCCTGTAACCAAGGAAATTCTTCAGGAGCCTAATTCCAATGTGGTGAAAGTGGCCTTTACTGTGCGGAGGGCTGGGAGATATGAGATCACTGTAAAACTCAGTGGCTCGAATGTGGCCGACAGCCCCTACTACAAAGTGTTCCAGCCAGGTAAGGTCTGAGTGGCCCTCTAATGATTCCAAGTAGATTTGGAGGTATTGGAAGTGGTTAGGTAAATGTGTTTCCAGCTGAAATAGGTAGGTGACAGGGAAAGGGTTACCCTTCACCATTTTCCTCTTGCCATGTGTAGATCCCGCCAATAGACCCATGACTAAAACATACTTGTGTCTACCTGTACGTGGCAAAGTAGAAACTGCCTTACAGAGTAAGTCGTTAGTGCTGCTTAAACTCTCTAACCACTTGAGTCATGTTCTCTCTTTTGTCATAACTTCTTCACGATCTATCTGGTAGTCAGAGGATGCCTTTTGTGAAAGTATTGAGTTATTTCTATCTGAATTAGAAATGCTGTCATGATTTGACTCCTCCTCTTTCAAATACCCTACTCTATTCGTTTAAGCTCTTGGAGCAGTTTGATTACACACTTCTTTAAAAGTATTTCCTTTTTATCCACTTTAAATTGGTTTCCTTTTACTTTTGTTTTTTGACCCCAGTGGGCACCTTTTATATTTCATGTACATGTTCATTGAAAGTACCCCTAGTTCATTGCATTGTGAATAAATACAAAGCTTGCTAAGACACCCTTTCAGAAAGAGGAAGCTCAGATTTAACTCAGATACCCTCCAGACTAAAGTTTGGTAAGCTGAATTTGCAGGTTTCCTTGGATGCCAGCTGGCTTGTACTTTGTGTGTGTAGTGGGATCAAATTGTTGAGCTGAAGGTTAGAATGGTGGAAAAAGCGTTGTTTAGAGGGCTAGTAACTGGGTTGGCTTTATCAGTATTAAATTTCTGACCCAAGGCAAACCTTGTGCATCACACCATGTTTTTCAGTGCTCAGATACTTTGGGTTTTTTTTTAATGTAGGGGCATAGGATGTGTTTTAGATTTGATAAATTTTCAAGGGTATTGTGCCCCTACTTGTTTTTCCTTTGTGCTTCGTAGCTTCATCTTGGAATTTGTTTAACCCTAAACTGTTGTTGTCTGCTTCAGGGATGGTGGTTCCCTCCAAAACCAAAATTGTCTGCCATTTCTCCACTCTGGTGCTGACCTGTGGGCAGCAGCACACTCTGCAGATAGTTCCCAGAGATGAGTATGACAATCCCACCAGCAATTCCGTGTCCCTGATAGATGATCACAATTACAGCCTCTCCATCCATGAGGTGAGTGCAGCCTTATCCATTGGTGCTTTACCAGGTGAGCTGGAGTCCCCCTTTTATTCATTTGTTTTCTGTCTAGCTGGGTCCTCAAGAAGAAGAGAGCTCCGATGTTGTGTTTGAGAAGTCTGTGGTGTCCAATCGGCAGACCTGCGAAGTGTTCTTCCGGCTCACCTTGCACTGTAGGGGATGTTTCCATGCCTGCATCTCCTACCAGAACCAGCCCATAAGCAATGGTGATTTTGACATCATTGTTCTAAGTGGTGAGTCAAGAGCTCCTCCATATTCCTTTTCCAGGTGTCCTCTTACAAGGTGCTTTGCATGCTCATGTAGCAGAGCTAGATGTAGCTTCCCTGCAGGTTGGCCGTGCATAGTTGCTCAAGGGATGCCTATTAATTTAAAAACGCTAAAATAAGTGAATTTGCTGCTGACAAGGGACATCTCTGAAGGCTGATACTCTCCATTCCATCAACAGATGAAAACATATGTGGTTTTTCCTCTGTCTCAGGAGGTTTACCTCTGAAATGAGGCAATTTTTATTGCTTGCTGGTACTTGGCATGTGAGCCGTACCGGAAGTGAGCCAGTCATGTGTTGTGTGTCAAGCTATATAGATGAAGAAGGCTGTGTATAATGTGTGTGCTTTTTTACAGTTTTAGAATTCCTGGGTTCTTCAGGTGTGAGCCAGTCTGCCACGTGGCTGTCAGGTGGCTCTGCCTTCAGGCTGGTGCTCTGAGAGAGAGGTTGTGTCTTTTTTTTCTTCAACCCGTCACTGTCTGAAGCCAGGACAGACGAACTGCTGTCTTGAAATCTTTTCATTCCACTCCTGTGTTCTCTTTATCAGAGTTTCACTTGACGAGGTTTTCCTTTGGATGTGTAGCCTCTTCTTTAAAATCATAGTAACTAATTTGGTGGTCGTTTGTGTATTCTTTTTGATTCTGGTCTCCATTAAGATTTACACAACTCCTATCTATTTCCCACAGAGAACGAGAAGAACATTGTGGAACGCAACGTGTCCACATCAGGTGTCAATATTTACTTTGAAGCCTACCTTTACGATGCTCCTAGTTATACCAACACTCAGTGGCAACTTCCACCAATGCACCTGGGCTCCTCCCTGCACCGTCCTTCTAATGCAATTGAGGATGAAGACGAAGATTCTCCCTCTGACAGCCAAACCCCTGAGAAAGTGAAGAAACCTAAAAAAGTGTACTGCTACGTGTCACCTAAGGTAGGTATCGCCAAGGTACCACTCTTGAACATATGTTTGAAGTACCCTGGAACTGAAGAGCTTCCTTGTGCCCTATATTTTAGCTCCAGATTTAGGTGCCTCGAATTTGGTTAAAAAACGTTTGCCTAAGGCTACACAGCAAGCGTGGGTCTGATGACTAATATTAAAATGCTCCTTGAAGTTTTAGGACTCCGTATGTCTTTCTAGGTCTGATCCAAAGCTTATTGGGAATTTTCTCATTGTTTGTTCAATAAATACTGTTTGCCTTTCCTTTCTGGTCAGCTCAGGCCTGCAGTTTCCTTTCTCAGTTTCTGGTACTCTTAGGTCGGAACTTACAGGAAGACAGTTCTCAAATTTTATGTCTGTCTGTCCTGTTTTCTTTAAATGTTTCAGGGGAAAAAAAATGGTCAGAGTACAAAGGGTAAATGTGTAAGTAGAAGACAGAGGATTCAAGCAAGTCAAGAGAAACTGACGTTTCTTACAGTAAGAATACGCTAACACAAACTATTCCCCCTTACTATTGCCCACTAGAAAGAAAATACCACTGAATCTACTAATAAATTTAAATTCACTTATCAGTCTGAATGCATTCTGAAAAATGAAGTGATAAACATGAAAGAGTAATCCAGGAATTACTTTGCTGACAAAGACAGAAAAAGGGCATTGAAACAGCTGAAGGGTGGAGAACGTTGCTAGAGGTTTCTACATCTCTGCTGCATGTGGCTGTAAGAACTGACTTTGGGAATGGGTGCTGGGTCCTTGCGAGCTCAGCATCCCTTTATCCTTGGGGTGTCATTCTGGACTCTTGTACTTCCCTCTGTTGCGTTACCTGCTAAAGGAGATTGCCAGAAGTGGGTACTGTTGCAGGTTCCCTTAGGTGCCAACATTGTCAGTGCAGTTCTGGTGTTTGTGTAATTGTATTCTTGGATATCTCTCTATATACTTACAGCATCTGTCCTGTACAGCAGATAACTGTTATTATGCTGATATTTCTTTAAGGGGTTGCTCTTTGTATTTGCTTTGTTTCTGGAGAAATGCTGTTCATCATGTTTCCCAGTCATTGCAGTTAGAACAGGCTTGTGCAGGAGATGGTTTTGTGTTTTGTCTAAAGATGCTAAAATACCATCTTAGCTTGATCTCCAGAAGGTGACAGTAATTATTTGTTCTGGCAGAAATACACTAAGAATAAATTTCTATGAATCTCCTGGGTTTAGCAATTTCAAGTGCTTTTTGAAAGTTCTTTGCAATGGTTGTGAAAATTAGGGAGTAGTGGCAATAATCTAGTGTGACTTTTTCTAAAACCTTTTTGTCATTGCTTTGCAATCTTGTCCTGAATTGAGCCTCTCAAATGTACTTAACATTACCTTCCCGTTAGACTGGTGATGTTCTACAGAACACAGTGGCTTACTGCTGCAAACTCCGGTGCCATGCGTGCCTTAAAGTCTTACTGGCAAGTTGCTTACAGTTCTGAACAGCTTTCAAGGTTTCTGTGTTGTGCCAGAAGATGCTGTCACCAAATGTTGCAGAAACCCATCACTGGGGTTGGGGAGGGATGTGTGGCCTTATGGGTCTGTCCTGTGCCTCGTGTTTCAGGGACAACCCTTAACAGATGTGTGATTTTTAACACTTTCTTTCCCTTGTGGTTACTCAGCAATTCTCAGTGAAAGAATTTTACATGAAGATCATTCCATGGCGCCTCTTCACCTTTAGAGTATGTCCTGGCACGAAGGTGAGCCTCTTTCCATGTCGCCTGTCACTGCGCTTCTGCATTGTTAGCCTGTGGTCCTAGTGAATGACAGTCTGGTTTTTTTTTTTTGGAGAGAAGGTCTTCCACCCACGGAGCGTAAAATTCAATGCTGGAATCCCCTCCCAGTGCCTAAATTCTACCTGTATTTATGAGTAGAAGCTGGTTGTATCACCTGCCTTTTGTCCCAGTGCTAGGCAAAAATCTTGATTCTTTTGCATTTCTCTTGTTTTCCTCACAACCTTGCTAAAATGCTATGATTGTGTCCCCTGAAGCCCCTAGTCTAGGGTGGGAGGTTTGAAGCAGCCTCCTAACTGGAGTCGGGATGCTTGAGATGGTGTTTCTGTTAACTGCATCTGCATGGGTGAGCAGGGCAAGTCTTAGAGCACAGGTGGTGTTGCTCTGTCTACTGAACATACTGTGCCTTCTGCATGTTGGGTTTACCCTTTCTTGCATCTTTTTGCTGCTAGTTTTCATACCTTGGTCCTGACCCTGTGCACAAATTACTGACACTGGTGGTGGATGATGGGATCCAACCCCCTGTGGAGCTCAGCTGCAAGGAGAGGAACATCTTGGCAGCCACTTTCATTCACTCTCTGCATAAAAACATAGGTAAAGGAGCGGTGAGGTGGGTGCAGTAGTCAGGAAGTTAGCACTTGAGTCTGATAGTTTCCCCGGGGAATGAAATTGCCAGCACTGAATGACCTCTGATGAGAGCTCCGATCCCTGGAGTCTCATGTTCTGTTCCCGTTGTGCCTCCAGTGAATGTATTTCATCATGCCAGCTGTTCCTTTGCAGTTTGGCTTTTCTGTCAGGCTCTTTGAAAGCGCACCTGTGAGTATCTGAACGTCGGCAAGACTAACTGCAAACCGCCTGTAGGCTTCTATCTCCAAACCTTGCTGTAAGGAACTCATCCTTGGGTTGTAAGGCTGACCTGTCCAGTTAGGCTTAGGAATGCTTTCTAGGTGTTCAAGGTGTTGACAGCTCAGGCCTGACCCAAATTGTCACTGTTCTCAGGAGGCTCCGAGACCTTCCAGGACAAAGTGAACTTCTTTCAGCAAGAGCTGCGTCAGGTGCATATGAAGAGACCTCATTCGAAGGTCACGCTGAAGGTCAGCCGTCACTGTCTGCTGGAGTCGGTGAGTCTATAGGTCACTTAAGCCCAATGCTTCCTCCACACTTTTTTTTTCTGCTCAGTGCCTAGAAATCCAAACTGGCATGTGCTAGGGCAACCACGCTGAAAACGATTAGTCCTTCTGTTTCAAAGCAGATGCCGGTAGACAGTTTGAGATGGGTAAAAGAACAACAAAAAATAGTCTCAAGGGAGCTCCTCTGTGTTCAGGTTTGGTGTTGTGTGGGATGCTGTGTTCCTTCTCTACAGCCAGTAAGATCAGATCAATTTCTTAAGTAATTAGGTAATTTGAGCTGTGATAAAATTTTAAGGAGCTCGCCACAGAGTAAACCAAGTCCTGAGAGATGTCTAGGCTAAATGCATAGTCTGTAAAGGCAGGAAAACTGGTGCTATTCAGTCCCCACTTTACATTGGAACCTGAGGCCCAGCTCGAGAGTGCTTGCCTGGACCAATCTGGGAGCAGAACCTAGAGCTCCTGAGTCTTTATCTTCTATTTTTCTGGTACAGAGCCATTCCGTGAGATAAGTTGTCAAGTCATGGAATCATAGAATGGTTAG